TGAAGTTTGTAAGTGGGAACTGGTCCCTGCAGACAGACAGTGAAAATCCATGCTGAAATGCGGAAGGAGACATCCCACGAGCCATGTTGGGGCCCATGGCAGTCCGTGTGTGTGTGTACAGACCTTGCATAGTTATTGGTATTCTCATCAGGGTTTATCTCTGTTTTTATTTTAAAATTGTTACATATTTACACCAGGTTCAACTGAATTGCTGCTGTGACAGAAAGTGCTTTTTTTGTAGATGACTATTTTACATTTTCCATTTTACTGTCTGGCTCTTTAACTACTTACTACGTTTCTGTTTTCCATTTGTTTACACCTTGCTCCTGCCAAGCTTTTCTTTAATACAAGATTGCAAAGCAATTTTTCCTTTGTATATATAGATTTGTAGTTTCTTGAACACAGCACAGTCAAAATCAGTCAAACCTCTTTAAACTCCCTTGCAATTAGCTGGTGAAAGAAAAGGGGGAAGAACGGCTCCGATGTCGTCTTTTAGTATTTATTTATTTTCCTCAACACTCGGAGGAAAAACGCTCCTTTTTGTTTTATTAATGATGTGCTTATGAAATAGAGCGTTTGATGGTATGCACTTGGAGCAGGCAGAAGGCGAGCTTCCCCACGTCGCGCTGGCAGCAGGCTTCCTTTCTGATCTGCAGCACGCTAGTTTATTCCAGATGTAGGCTCGCTCTGAACAGAGGCCGCCTGATGTACAATGGCTTCACGGTGGAGAAAGATGGCCTGCGGGGACCCACTTGAAGCTGCCAGCTGTATTCTCCATTCTCGCTTGTGGTCTGTTACGTAAGATGACCCATTTTTTTTTGCCTATGATTAATCCAAGTAGAATATTCATACGGTCTTTAAAAACATTTTAATTATTTGTAACTTTTTGTAGCTTGGGCACTTTGAAGTTGATCAGCTTCAAGTGGAAAAGTCTGGTCCAAAGGGCTGCCTGTTTGAAAGAGCCAAGTTAGGAGGAAAGTTGAGTAACCTAAGAGTGATGTAACTGCAGAGAACAAAAATTAGCCATTAGCCCAACTGCAGCCTGACTTGACCATTTGCATGTCTGCTTGCTATGTGAGGGAATTAAAAAAAAAAATAAAGTAGGCCTGGATGGGACTTCAAGAGATGACCTGCTTTCATCTCCTCCTCTGACACCATCTTTGACAAGTGTTGGTCCATCGTGTCCATTAGACCCTTCCATCGGAGGATTCCACAGTCCCTCTCTGTAGGCAGGTCTGCTACTGCTCTGGGTTTACAAGCAAAGTCCGTCGGGTGGATCTGAGCAGAGTTAACATTAGGTCCCAGGAGATGGGGAATAAATCTGTGAAGGGAAATTTTGTCTTATTCCTCTGACAATCTCAAAGCGAGCATGGATGTCTTTCTGAGTGTCCATCTTGGCTGAATCTCAGGTGGCTTGCATGAGATTTTTCTGGACTGTCCTATAGAGGTATTCAGCCTATGTTATCTAGTGAGCCCTTTCCACTTGAGCTCTCAAGTCATGAGCCTTGTCACTGTGACCCGCCTTTGGTTAAGCGGTATAGGTTGGTCTCCTTGTTATTAAGAGTGATCAGAGCTGGGTATCGCACAGTCCCTTGCTGCGATGGGAGCTTGTAGTGCCTCTCTCTCTGTCCTTGCTGAGGACCTCTGGAGTTCGAGACACTTGACTGGACTGGCATTAGCACATCTCTGAGCTTCAGGCATGAAATGCTTTTGCACCAAGACCTGTGGGTGCACGTGTGCAGATTTATTGTGTCACTTGTGAACAAAGCTGGGGGGATTGAGTCATTTATAAATGAAGCTCTGAGAATTATTCTGAGAGGATGGAGAAGTTCAGATGTTAATAGGAACATGAAACTGACAGCAGCCAAGCAGCACCCTGAATTGTGCAGCTGATCAGAGGAGACCGGTCAGCAGTTAAACTCGTGCTCCTTCTGGGCAGGGATTTTGCAGGCTCCAAGTGCAGTGGCATCAGACCTGCAAACTGCCAAAACTAACTACACTTGAAGTTTCCCTTGGGTATTGTAAGTCTCTGGAGCGGGGTGAGTACACCAGAATGCTAACCTCACTAAATGAGCATGTAGTCTCTTTGTTTATGAAGGAGAGCTTGAAAATATGATCCTTGAAAAAATTTCAAAATGAAAGACATGCATCACTGCTTTTTTTTTTTTTCTTTTCTTTTTTTAAAGCGCTTAGGCTTTAAACCTAAACCTGGGAATCGCCAATAACTCAAGAAAACTGGTTTTAAGTAAAATCTAAATGCTTTTACAAATCCTTGGAATTGGCACAGGGCTTTACTATTAAGGCTTTCCTGTGATGAAGTCACGTAAGGTGCACATTCAAAGCAGCAGCATTTCCTAGCTGGCTGTGAAATATCCCATGCTGCTGTGTGCAGAAGAGATAGCTGCTTCACGGGGAGGGGAAGGGGAAGGGGGCTTTACCGAACACCCGTTTGCTCCAAGAGGCTGGCGTCAAAAAAGGCTAGCAATCTGCTTTTTAATACTTAGCTTTCAAAGTCTTGGAGTGATGTGCCTTGGAGGTATGTGTGTATTGGGGGAGAGGGGGTGTTTGCTTTGTAGCATGTGCTTGAATGAAGACATGTGAATGTTTTTTGAAAAAGAGGGAAAAAACAGTGAGGGGGTCTGATTTCCAGTTGACACCAAATTGTTTATTCCCAGTGAAATGTGTGCAGCTGACTGGTGGGGACTCGGGGGACGGCTTTTTCTTACACAGGAGATGGTGACTGTGTCATTTGAAAATGAGTAAAAGAAATACATGTTTGGGTATGTGCCACATGGTTCCGTTGTCTCTATTGTGGCTGCATTCTGCTGTCCATGTCCAGACTGAATAATGCTTTAGCTTGCAAGTGTTTTTGATTTCAGTGGGAGTTCAAGGGGAATAAGATGGTGCTTGCATTAATAGCAGTGGAGTCTTGCTGCTATTAAGTGTTTTGCTATGAAAATGAATATTTGAGATTGGGTCAGTTAAGAATGAATTGGGGATTTTTTTTTAATAAGATGTGTGATAGTGAGGAGTGCTGAGGAATGCAAGCTAGGCGCTGCACGTCGTGGGCCTTTGCATAACTTGCATTCCAAAAAGCTTTTGCAAATCATTAAATGCAATTTTATGACTGTATTGTCAAACTTTATTGGAAGGTCTGCTTTCAAACTGGATTTAACAACAGGACACTCAGAGTGGCATCTTGTCAGGAGAATAGATGGTCATCATTTCAGCCTGGGCTTGGTTGGGGCAGGCAAAGAGATTGTATTTCTCTGTTACACTGTTTTCATTATGGGTGCAAGGTACTTTATAGCAATAAAACCTCTCTGGAGCATTTTCATGCTGTAGCTCAGTTCTGTTTTTTAAGTGGGTAAATATAGTTGACTCTTGCCCCTACATTTAACACGATGTCTCAGGTATCACTCTAATTTATCTCAAAAGTATTCTCTGTCCTGACATGTACTGTTATT